GACGCCCCCGGAAGCTACAAAAAGATAAAGCTAAGTCTGAGGTATCCTTGACTCGCTTATAGGAGCTGGATGTGATCATACTTTTATATAACAATCATTAATAGCTACGAGTGCTTTTCTTTGTCTAAGTTTTATGGTTTATTTTACTTTAAAGTTACACAGCATGTTCCTTTCTTGAGTTTAAAATTGTTTTTTTTAAAGGTAGTTTTCATTTTACTTTTACCTTTGCGTTTCTTTTGCTCTTAATCCTTTTTAACGTAATTTTTAAAGATGGTTTTAACTTTAATTTGTTTTACTTCATTGTGCTAAGGTTTTATTGTGCGACGGAGGGGGTAATGCTGGAACAAACCCACGCCAAAATAAGCTCCTCTAGCCACGCTACCCTCTCATGGGGCTTATACCAGGGGTATAATAAACTACTTTATTTGCGTAAGGCGCTCCTGGTAATGATGGAATTTTGATACACCACAATAGTAATAATGATAATGCTAAATAAAACAATAATAAAGAAGCAGCAACTCAGACAAAAAAAAAAAAACAATAAAAAAAAAAAAAAAAAAAACGCGCCCTTACCTGCCGCAGCAACCGAGAGCGGCGCTGCGAAGGACTCTCGGTTTTGGCGGGAACTTCGCTGTGGGGGTTGAGGGGCTCCGTCGGTGACTCAGCCATTTCGGGTTTCTGGAATGATCGAAAGTGAGGATACTAGTGATGATGATGGTAGTAATGATGAGGATGATGGTGATAATGATGGTAGTATTGATGATGATGATGATGAAGTTTTTTTCTTTTACAAATATATATATTTGGAGATATGAATAGGACTGCTATATTGCATTTACTCTTCAATTAATATATATATATATATATAGATAGATAGATAGATAGATAGACACACACACACACACACACACACACACACACACACACACACACACACACACACACACACACACACACACACACACACACACACACACACACACACACACACAGACACACACATATGTATATATATATATATATATATATATATATATATATATATATATATATACATATACGTATATATACATAAATACATATGTACATATGTCTATATATATATATATATATATATATATATATATATATATATATATATATGTATGTATGTACATATATAAATATATATATATATATATATATATATATATATATATATATATATATATATATATATATATATATACACATATATATATATGTATGTATGTATATATGTATACATATATATAAAACATATATATATAAAACATAAATATATATATGTATATATATATATATATATATATATATATATATATATATATACATATATATATATATATATATATATATATATATATATATATATATATATATATACATATATATATATATATATATATATATATATATATATATATATATATATGTGTGTGTGTGTGTGTGTGTGTGTGTGTGTGTGTGTGTGTGTGTGTGTGTGTGTGTGTGTGTGTACGAATGTGTGTATGTATATATACAAAATATAATTAGAAATATAATCTAACTGGCATAAATAGAAATCATATTAAAAACTGTCACATATTCCCGTGCTCGAAGTAAATATGGGGGCGCCCGCACTCCCTTGAGATGGCTATGCATGTTTGGCTTTAACCATTTCATAAACCGCCGAAAATCCAGTGGTTTTGTGGTCGTAAAGAACGGCGTCAATGATAACAAAAGCCTGAATAAAAACGACCAAAATAATAACAGTAATCGGACAGGCAGCGCCATAACATAAGAGGCAGTACGAATCTCCATAGGCCAGAAAACTTAACCTAGCCCTCTCCATGACTGAAACACGATGCGGCGAAATCGGACGCGGCCGATAAAGGCAAGGTCAAGGGCAGAAAACGGTCCTAGTGGCTGCCTGCCGTTCGAACGCAGCGAACGCCCTCTCACTCTCTCCATGCACTCGCTCTCTCTTTCATTTCATTCTCTTTCTCTCGACACTGTGTGCAAAGAATTACGATAACTGTCGTAGATATACAATCATGTGATCTTGGGAATAATGTACTATGGGTTATTCACGCTTCAATAATTCCCTGTGCAATATTTCACTACGTTAGCATAATAATTTTCTACCATATGAATTCAAGAGGATCTTCTTTAGCTTTAGTATGTGCATCTTATCTATACTCACAGCACACTTTATTCATGTCCATACTACCCAGTTTAATTCAAAATGACAAATACACTTCTATGATTGATCGTTTATAACGGACCCACGGATTTCTAACTGTGTTCAGAGTCGGGTAGCCTTATCATGACCAGCCGATGTTGTGTTATATATTTTAGCGTTATTATGCTGAAGTAGTATGTCCTGGTGGGATTCTAAATAATAATAATAATAATAATACCAGTTCGGAATCTCAAAACAATATATTGCAACGCCTTTATACTTGACAAGAGCAAACATAACTCAGCTGACCACTTGGCGTCACATTCTACACTGCTACACATGAGCAGTCACCGATAAATTCATACCTGAGCAGATGCAAATAAACATTGAGGTTAACTTTTGAATTGCAAGGGAGATTGAGATAAACGACTTGGAGAAGGAGGCGAGGCAGAAAGCAAGCGGAAAGAAAAAATGTTCGTTCATGGAGAGAGAGTGGGAAGAACGAAAAGGAGACCAAGAGGGAGAAAGGGAGAGACATAGAGATGGAGAGAGAGAGAGGAGGGGAGTGATTAACAAATAGACGTGTGTGTGTGTGTGTGTGTGTGTGTGTGTGTGTGTGTGTGTGTGTGTGTGTGTGTGTGTGTGTGTGTGTGTGTGTGTGTGTGTGTGTGTACATATATATATATATATATATATATATATATATATATATATATATATGTATATATATGTATGTATATATATGTATGTATATATATATATAAATATATATATATATATATAAATATATATATATATATATATATATATATATATATATATATATGTGTGTGTGTGTGTGTGTGTGTGTGTGTGTGTGTGTGTGTGTGTGTGTGTATGTATACAGAGAGTGAGAAAAAAAAAAACTAAAAGAGAGAGACAGATATATACACAAAAATGCGAGCATGAGAAAGAAAGCATCCACACACGCGCACAAATCCCCCAAAGGCAAATCTTACATGGGAGGCAGAAGTACGAGAAATAAGTGTAAGAAATTGCTCAATGACGCCTCCGAGAACGGCTGGCGCCTTCGAGTACCAGCTTGTCACCCTGAAACGATGATATAAGACATTGTTAACCTTCCCGCATCTCTCTTTTTTCTCTCTTTCTATTACTCTGTATTATTTTTCTCTCTTTCTGTTACTCTGTATTATTTTTCTCTCTTTCTATTGCTCTAATATTTTTCTCTCTTTCGATTTACGCTTCTCAAGGTTATTTTCCCTTCTTTTTTTTTCTAACAAAACTGACGTGAATCCCGACATGTTACGACGCAGCGGAAAGTCCGTAAGAGGAAATTGTATAACGTATATGTATATGATTAACCATTATTTTACTGATTTTTCATGTTTTAGATGCGGGATCTATCTTAATCAGTGTAAGTATATTTGTTAAAAAAAAAACTCAAGCAATCAAAGTCATTATTTCGCTTACCGTACTTATTATAATAAGTGTATGTTTATTCATTACAGTTCACGATTATAATGTTATATATATATATATATATATATATATATATAATATATATATATATATATATATATATATATATATATATATATATATATATATATATATATATATATATATATATATATATATATATATATATATATATATGTATATATATATATATATATATATATATATATATATATATATATATATATATATATATATATATATATATGTATATATGTATATATATATATATATATATATATATATATATATATATATATGTATATATATGTATATATATGTATATATACATATATATATATATATATATATATATATATATATATATATACATATATATATATATATATATATATATATATATATATATATATATATATATATATATATATATATATATATATATATATGCTTAAGACTCCACTGTCTCTATTTAAAGTACAACGTGGTCATAAAAACTGGTATAAATTTTACGATACAGAGCAGACCAAAAGACGTGGAAGGGTTGTTTAAGACTCTTTAGCTGCGGCTTTTTTGTTTTCAATTAGATTTAACCGTCAGAATCTGAAGCAACACTGCGAACTCAATTGCCGCTTTTGTTACACAGTGTAAAATTCGGATCGTAAGAAAAATTAATAAGTAGGTTAAGACAACAATGTCTTGTCTTTTTAGACATGCTTGTATGATATAATTTTCGATATCAAAGGATACTAGGCCACACAGTTGGCTACCACAGTGGTAAGAATTCATCACATTTACTAAGACGTGTTCGTGCCAGATAATATGAAATGTGCTGGCCTAAATCGTTATTTTTTTGCATGGTTTTCATTTTAAAAGATGGCGAAACTAAGATCCTGGAATCCGTTATACTGAAGTTACATCTTATTAATTTAATCTGTTAGACTCTAAATCGAGGAATAAGTAAACACGCAAGTACATTGATGCTTAACGAGACCACATGTTTCAAAATGCGTCATTTTGTACCTCAGTTAAAGCAGAGACCCTAGTTTTGGCATCTTGACTCTATATACAATTACACACATAACATCAACTGTTGTAGTAAGTACACCTGCAATTACTGGCTATTACTGTGTCTGAAAGTCAGGGTGCTTTAGACAGGAAACAGTCATGAGATGACATTTTCATGAAACTTTCTTAGAAAAGATGTCTACTATACGAATACTATGAATGAGCTGTGTTCATTAGTTCGGAGAAGCAGCACATGTATATTATTTCTAAGTTCCTAAAATCCATAATTAAATCAAATGTGCAGGTATTATCAAGCTACATTTAATTTCTTTCGCCGAAAATCTTATCGCAAATTTCGTCTACAGGAAGTAGAGTAATTGATTACTTTCCCTTTGATTATGACTCGCACCTGAGTCATATATAGTCGGGCTTCTGCCAACCACGGAAGAGTAGCCACATAGCCACTACACACACAGTAAGAGAAAATGGGTAAACATCTGCCGTGTATGTATAATATAGCACGATCAACACAATTGCCAGCACGCTGACGAGACACGCTTACTCTGTCTGTATCTCTCTCATCAATGGAGCTTCAGCATTGCCGTTCACCTAAAACTTGCCTTCCTTGGCCAGCACAACGTTAATCTAATAAGCATCTTCAAATTAACTGTGTTTTCCCTATTCCCCATATAACAAAATATGCATCACATTACACCATATAATTTCCATCATAATAATATCAAAACAGCTCTCATATACCACATTTTGCCAAAATATAATCAAGAGTTGCAGCCGTGACTAAAACCATTAAATTTCAAAGTATAAAGTTATGGACACTAAATGCATGATAAAAAGAAAATCACATAAAATTGCTAGTGGAGAACATCTGCAAAATGTGTTTTAAATCATCTCATTTTGATCTTGATCTATTATATACAAGACAACCTTTGGCCGCATAATATGCATTTGATTGAAAGAGGAAGAGTGAAAACAGACAGGAGAGGCTAAG